TTTATACCATAAACAGTTTCGTTGAGATTATAAATAAATTAATTTAAAAAAATCTCTGCTTTTTTCGAATTGAAAAATGTTTTTCACTCTTTTATGAAATTTTCATTAAACAACTGCGTTTAATTGCGTTTAATTGAAACAATACAATTTCAAGATCAAAAGAAACATTTAGGAAATTTAATGTGTTTACAATTCAAACCGAATTTTCATTACCTTTAACCACAAATGGCAACATACGGTGAACTAAATAAACAAAACCACACATTTCAATGAGTATTTAATAAATATTAATTTATTAGGCAATTTTAATTGATTTGAATTCAAATGAATTGAAAATTGAAAATAGTCTAATGAACAAAAGTGTAATTTAGTTGGATTGAAATCAGTTTGAAAGAGGGAGGATAAAAAATGAAAGGGAATTATGAATGAAAATATTTCGACTAAATTTTGTAAAATAAATAAATTTCTTAGAATCAGTTAAAACACAGGAAGAAACACAAAAAACCATTAAAATTATGTTAGCCCTTAAATCACTATGTTTACTTCTAAATAAAATCCTTAACCTAATTTACTAATTATGCTAAGTGCATTTTGTACTTAGCATTAATTATTTCGTATGTAGAGTAACAAATTAATTAAGGTCTGAAGACAACTAAATTATCGATATTTATAATAACATAGAGAACTAGATTAGTTAAGTGATTATTAAAAAAGCAGTGAATAAATGATAAAAACATATACAACAGCGCACAAGTATAGTTATAAGTATACATAAATACACACTTGAAAAAATATACATACTTCACACATATAACCATAAATAAAAAGCTCGTTTTTTAGAAGAATCTTAATATAAGATACCAAAGATTATGGAAATGAACACCGGATTGCTAGAAGGTAACTAAATAATCATAGAGAACACTAGCAAGACTTAAACATCGCCTGAACATCGTCCACCACATAACAAATTTTCTCAACTGTCATAGTATATCAACTCTCACGTTTTTCATCCATTTGAGCTTAGGCAGTTATTCCTTACTGCGAGTTAAGACCATAAAGCACAATTCTTTGTGATTGTAGAATAGTTTGCTTGTAATTTCTCAATAAGAAAACCTATATTAACACAACTATTACCGGCTATAATATAGATTTATGTGTACTTTTACATCTATATCCTAAACGTTTACTCTATATGGTTTTTATTTTGCACAGGCAAATCCTTGCATGATAATCATTAAGATTAACACAAAAGTTTGTATATTTCTAGCGCCATGAATTGAAAGAAGAAATCAGAAGCTATGTTTTGTGTAAAAAGCCAGCACTGCTATTCTATTTTACCGTTCATTTATTTTAACCTATAGCAGAACATAGCTGTGAGTTGCTGAGGGCAGAGGCCTGCTCCTTTTATGCTTCTCTTTAGCACTACTTTGAGCAGTAGCACTATTTTGAGCCATGACCTAAGATTGTATCTTTTATCACAACAGCATAATGTCATTGAGATTGAACTGGAACAGTTGAAATTTTTTTTTTATGTCACAGCTAACGTTACACGCATGGCTAGATCGACTTTCCATGGCTATTCATAAACGGCAAGTAAGTGCCACTCACTACTAACGTTAGTAGGTAGACAATGCTTTTTAAAAATATATAATAGCTAACGTTATCCTAAACGTTTAGATTGAATTTCCGGTGCTATTCATTTACAAATGAGATATAACATAATAGCTAATAAAAAATCGATTATTATGACCACCAAATAAGTCGTTACTTTCTTGAAATACAGCTAAATACTCCTTTTAAATTTTAAACAAATAAAATAGATAGTAAAATATAAAAGTACAGGAAAAATGGAGTATTTTGTGTTATCACGTAAAGCTCAATTTTAACTTATGATGTATCAACGATCGTCTTTCATTAGATGATTAACCACTGTTATGTATTTATATGTCTATTATATAAAGGTTCATCACAATGCGCCAATAGGCCTAACTGGATCCACTAAGGATCACCGGTATAACCTATATAAAGGTTTCTATTATTTGAGATGTGATACTTAGTTTTTCTATTCAAAAGATTATATTTTCAATAAAAAACTATAAAACTAACCATAAAACATAAACGATAGGAGCAGTTCTCTGGCATTTATTTGTTCTTCAGCTTTTATAAACTTTTGAAAAATATCTATTAAACCACTTTTTTATAGATGTTACTTCGTATTTGTTGACTACTTTTAAACTTAATATCCAATAT